CGCTGTAAAACCACTGAGCATCGCAGGGCTCCCTCCAGCTTCTGGGGACCTTGGGTCAAGTGCTCATCAGATCCTGCTCATCCCTCCTGTGTGAGATCCCCGACCCTTGGTTCTGCTCCATGACGCCCGCCCTCCCTGCCCTCCCCTACTGACACAGGCCCCACGGGGAGCTGTCACTTCCCTCCTCCTGGTCCCCACTCCCCGCTGACGTCTGCAGCCCAGGGCCCTGGCTTTTCCTTTGACCCAGTGAACCTGCAGGCAACGCCTTTCCAGGCGGCGGGTGGGAACCACATCTGAGTCACATTGGGATAAAGGAGACGTGGGAATGGCGAAGGGACACGGTGTCTAAGAACGTGACCTGGAGGCAGAGCTAGGTCTCGGGTGTGTGTGTGTATGTGTGTGTGTGTGTGCGCACACATGTGTGCACATGTGTACCTTTCACTAAGGGACAAGGAAAACCAAGCTGGGGCTTTGCCGCCTGGTTCCCGTGCAAACTCTCCCACCCCCAAGCCCAACAGCAGCTGCAAGGAAGGGGCTTCTTCAGAATCCCAGCTGCCCTCCCCCAACTCATTTGCCCCAGCAGACTCTAAGGCTGAACTTCACTCTCCTCATCATCTTTAAAATGTCGGTTAAGCCTCTTGATCTGGGCTCAAGCAAAGGTACATTTTGAAGAAGGTGATGTTATGGATTCCCACTGGAATGGACAGACGCTCTGCCCACCCCAGCCCTGATACATAGACCTAAATGAGGACACAGTGGGAAGGAGAGGGGTTCAACTCCCCCAGGTCTTCTCCTGATTTGTCCTGAGCAGCAGGTGAGCCTAGTGGGCAGGGCTAGGACTCCAGGGCTAGACTGCTTAGGCCAGCATCCCAGCTCTGCCAGTGGCAGGTTCTGAGACCCTGGGCAAGTCATTTAACCTCCCAGTGCCTCCAGTTCTTTTCTGAAAAATAGAAGTACCTTCCCTGTCATGTGGGGTTGTCAAGAGGACCCAGTGAGTTCAAGCACACATAGGCTTTGGACCGCACCTCACGGCTGTAAGCACTCTTCAACTTGCCTTAAAGGCAAAAAGAAGACGATTGTGTCCTAAGAAAGGCCGAGGAACTCAGCCACATTGTCATGCTACTTCCCTGTATTGACTGTTTACACTGAAAATGAGGACATAGAAAGAAAGGGCAACCACAGTTTCTTTTCCCTTCAGTCTTTCCTTGCTCATCAGCAAGATGAGGGCAGAGAGCATTGGTAAAACATCTGTGTATGGAGAAGTGAAACAAGGAGATAAGAGTCAGATGCAGCATTTCCATTGTTCTGGAAGAGATGAACTAGAGATGCATGTGCATTTATGAAATACTAACTACGTCACCTTGGAGGTGCCGCATCGGAATTCTGTGTGCATTTAGAACCGTCACGGTGTAATCTAAAGATGAACAATAAAGATCATGCTAATGTTAATAAATAATATGTGTGCATGTATACTTGGGACAGCATTACATCGCAAATAAAATCACGATGACAGATCAGAGAGAGACCACCAAAGAAAGGTAAAAGGCTTTGTGTTTTAGGACCTCCAATGACACTTTTCCTGCTTTTTTGAACGAGGGGCCCTGCATCTTCATTTTGTAAATTATGTAGAGGGCTGCACCGCAGGCTGACTCCTTGATGTTCTTCTCACAAACCTCTCATTCAGCCTCATTTGTCTTAGAGCCAGGAGAGTTTAAGGGTGGAGGGGGAGGCAGAAGAAGGGCTGTTGGGGTGTTTTCAACTGGGGCCTGACTTCCTGGAGGCACTGAGATCCCCCAGAGGGTCCTCTGAGGCCCCGTGGCCACCTGTAGTCAGTACTGTCAGCAGCTGAGAGGATGGCATAGCCTCCCCCCACCCCCCAGCCACAGCTCCGCATCCAGTGTTTTGCCAGATGTCAGGTCTGAAAGGCAGCTGCACCCGGAGGAAAGGAAAACGATGCCGCCTCATGAAGGTGGGTGTTGTCAGCCAGGACTCAGGCTGAGGACTGGCCTGGCGCTCAGCTCTGAGTGGCAGGAGCGCGGCAGCACTGTCATTTCTCTTCCTGGGATCAAAATCAGACAAATCTCCTGTTTGGCTTACCAGGCACTAAGTGGATAACACCAGTGAATGTCAGTGCAAATTACAGCTCCAGACTCCTGTCGGCGGCTTTGTGCTGCTTCTTGTCACTCTAATGCAAAGAGACAGCATGGAGCTGATAACAAGCCAGAGGGCTGGGGGATTGGAGAGGGTGGCTGTGTCAGGGACAGGAAAAATGCATGTTGGAAAGACTCAGAGGGTAAAAACCCACAGCTATGACTTCCTTGTTTGCCTCTAGGAAATGGGCATTTAAGGGTGTTAAATGCCTGGACAACACCTCTTGGGTTTTTACAAAACTGAACAGTAACCTCATCAGTTCATTCACCCACCCACCCACCCATCCATCCATCCATTCACTCATCCATCACCCACCCATCCATCCATCCATTCATCCATCACCCAACCATCCATCCTCATCTGTTAATGAGAGCTGGACTGCCCTCTTAGCACTCTGGGATTCTGCGGGATCATGGAGGCCTCCACCTACTGTTCCAACACGTTTCCTGGGGTTGCTTCTAAGAAGTCTAAAGAACTCTTGGGAGGAAACACCTGTCTTTCTAGCAAAAAAAAAAAAAAAAAAAAATTGCCTTACGGCCTTTGAATTTTGTCTAAAACAGCCCAATGACTGCTTAAAAACTCCAGTTCTACTCCGTTAAATTGCATTTTCTTTTTTTTTTTTTAATTGCATTTTCTAAGCCAGTGGGTGTTACTGTTTTAGAGACCCCACTCAGCTGAGAGATAAGATCTTCCCTCCAGCTGGCTGTAGAAAGTCCTGTATTTTAGAGCGCCAGGAGTTGAGTATGTCCATCTGTCTTGAAGCCTGCAAGGGTCAGCTCCCATTGATACGCAGCCTCACTCTGTCTCCACCCACATCACACACTGGAGGAACCGATGCAGTCAGAACAAGAAGCCAGGCCTTCCTACAGCTGTGCTGACAAGCTAGTATCTAAGGAACCAGAAACGGGGCCAAGAAGGTAACTGTATGCAACACACGTTCTGTACATCTTCACAGGTTCCTCAGTGACTGTTCCCTCTCTCACCTGATGTCCCACTTGCCCCTGGATACCCTCCACATTTGAACGCAGATTAAATTCCTCACCATGGGCATAGAGTCTGGCTTCCTGGGCAGTCATCAGGGGCTGGAGAATGCTAGGGAGCTAACTCCCCTTGGGGGTGAATGTTAACCTGGGAGGTAGAAACAAAAGCAGGGCAGATACACTCCTCCACCTTCCATTCTCCCATAAATGACCCTGGAGCATGATTCCTTCTTGCCGCCTTTCTGGACAAGCTCTGGGATGAGTAAATCTGGTGTCCCCTAGAAGCTCAGGGGGAACTCACAGTGAAACAAAATCACCACAGTAACGTGTTACATGGCATCGCACAGCTTTTTGTCCCATTTCTTGGTTTCCCTCGCCTCCAACCCCCTAGACTTGTACCTTCTAATCGAATCATTAGAACCTTAATCCTTGCTCAGGGTCAGCTCTCCAGAGGATCTAGACCAAGGCAGTAAATAATATTTGTTCAATACCTGCCATGCGCCCACAGGGACTCTGAGGATATTCAAAGCTGATTATGGAACTTGGAAAACTCATTCAGGAGAGCAGGACCTGTATCCCAAGGTCACCTAGAAAATCAGAAGCAGAATGGGAGTGAAACAGTTGAAACTGAGTGAAAAATTGCTGGTGAAAAAAAGAAAGAAAAGAGTGGGGAGAATGTAGTAGAGACGGGGTGGTGTTAGACCTGCTGGGGCCAATGAAGGAAAGAGGGGCTTGTGTATTCCTGGAGATTTTTGATCAAGATTCCAAGCCCCCAACTTGGTCTCCAAATTGGGAAAGATGTCTGTTTTGGAGACTGAGTTAGCGTTTTTCTCCACAGCAGGGGTAATGAAAGAGTGAAGGAGGGGCAGCTTCCACTACCAGTGTACTAGCTCCCTACTGCTGCATGATAAATTACCCTAAAACTTAGCATTTTAAAACAGTACATATTGTCAGGGTTTTGACTTTAGCCATTGTGGTTTTGCCTTGCCTTTGTCTCATGGGTGGTGAAGTTGGGGCACCATTTCATATACTTATTCCCATTTGGTTATGTTTTTTTTTTAATCACAAATAATGCTTTTAATTATTTAGCTTCTTACAGTACTTACATAACAGAAACTCACAAGTCCATGTTGCTCTTATTTAGTCACTAAGTTGTGTCTGACTCTTTGTGACTCCATGGACTGCAGTCCCCCAGGATCCTCTGTTCATGGGATTTCCCAGGCAAGAAAACTGGAGTGGGTTGCCATTTGCTGCTCCAGGGTGGTTATCTTTTTTGGGGAAGTGCTTGGTCAAATCTTTTGCCCATTTTTTTTCTGGTGGATTGTTGGTATCTTTATCAATTTATGGCCACGAGTTACATATCCAAGATAAATCTTTGGCCAGATAAATAAATGGCAAATATTTATCCCCTCAAAAAAAAAAAACAAAAACCAGTGTGAACAATTAGTACCTCTCACCGCCTCAATGGACATGAGTTTGAGCAAGCTCCAGGAGGTGGTGATGGACAGGGAAGCCTGGCGTGCTGCAGTCCGTGAGGTTGCAAAGAACTGGATGTGACTGAGCGACTGAACTGAACTGACTGGTGGGTCCTGTGGGTCAGGAATTCGAGTAGTCTGGCTGGGTGGATCCAGCTATGATCTCCCACTAAGTGAAGGTCAGATGTGGGCTGGGCTGCAGTCAAGTCAATGTCTGACTGGAGCTGGAGGGTCTGGCCCCAGGATGCTTTGCTCACCTGGCCATTGGCGGGAGGCCTTAGCTTCTCTCCATGAAGACCTCTCCCCAAGGGCTGATTGAGTGTTCTTCTGATGTCGTGGCTGGAGATCCAAGAGGCCGAAGCAGAGGCCACAGTGCCCTTCATGACACTTGGCTTCAGAAATCACACACGATTCTCTGCTTGGTGGCTACACAGAAGCCATGCTGCAAGGCAGAGAGAGCACATCCAGGGCCATAGGGACAAGGAGGTTGAGGACCCTGCGGGGAGGAGGAGCGTTTTTAGAGACTGGATCATAACTGCGTCCTGGAACATCAGAGCTGGGGGTTCTTAGAGACCAGGTTCTGTTTCAACAACCTCGTGCAATAGCTGAGGAAACCAAAGGTCAGACATTAAGCAACTCACTTCAGGTCACTCAGTGAATCATCTGTTCATACTAAAGCATGCCTGCAGGCAGAACATTTCTTGGAGCCAGGTGAGAATCGTAGCTTATGGTCAATCAGAGTCACTATGCTGATGAGCAGTCAGAGGTGATGCTTTTAGATAAGAGCTGCTGGATTTGAATCCACTGCAAAGCTGATGACAGCAGTTCATTCATTCATTCATTCAAAATATATTTACTGAGTGCTTTTCTTGGGGTCTGGCAATGCTCCAGGCACTGGCATAGAGGTAAGCAAAAACATGCTCCTGCTCTCATGGACCTTACAGACATGCAGTGTGTAGTCTCATGGATAATGGAACTATTACAACCATGGCAAGTACTTGGAAGAAGAGGTTGAAGCACTGGGAGAACACAGAATACTAAGTTTGTCCCAGCCAAGGAAGCGTCTCCAAGGAAGAGATGATTCAATGATCACTTGACAGGCTCAAAGTGAGTTCCACTAACAATGAGACGATGATTTTTGTTCACAATTTGTTTTTCAGCTATTGTGTTTTCCACCTCCAGATGTTCCACTTGAGTTTCTTTTATATCTTCTATTTCTCTCATAATTGAGTTCATGGTTTCCTTTAACATCCTAGAATATATTTATAAGATTTATCATAGCGATTTTAACATCTTTGCCTGCCAGTTTCATCATCTCTGCCATTTCTGGGCATATTTCTATTTTTTTCCTCCCAGTTCAAGTCATATTTTCCTGCTGTTTGGCACGCCTAGTGATTTTCTATTGGATGCTAGGTAATGGACATTTTACAGTATTAGGTATCAGATTTTGTTTGATTCCTGGAGAGAGTATTGGACTTTGCTCTGGCTCACAGTTACTTGGAAACAGTTTAATCTTTTCAGGGTTTGCGTTTCAACTTTGTCCAGAACAACATTTAGTCGAGGACTAATTTAGCACTGTGATTAAGGCAATACCCTCTGAGGACACAACCCATGTGATACAGGGTCTGCACTTTGGCTGGTGAGAATGCCAATGATTTGCAGCCCTGTAAAAACTCCAGAAATTGGTTCATCTGCTCCTTTTAGATGGTTCTTTTTCTTGCCTCAAGGAATTTTTTCACATGCAGTCAATGATCAGAGATCAAAGACGAGGTTTCTAACGAGACAACAGAGTTTTTCCCCGTGTGTAGAGCTCCCTTCTCTCTGGCACTCTGCCCTGAAAATGTGAAAGTCCTTGGTCTCCAACAACTCTGAACTCTGCTTAAGTCCACAAGCCCATCAGCTTCATTTGAATTCCTCTAGACAATGAGCTGGTGCCATTGCAGGAGGCACCTTGCTAGCTTCCCTTCACCGTCTTGCCTTGACTGTCGTCCAATGTTGTCCGTTTCATATACTTTTATCAATGTTGTTTCATATACTTTTTCTGGTTATCTAGTTATTTAAGGCAAGGATATATATCTACTCCCTGTGACTGATATGGCATATCAGTCTTTAACTTTTAAAATGACTTTACTGAAGCATAATTGGTAAAATAAATTGAATACATTTAAAGTGTAAAATGGGCAAGCCTTGACACATGAAATCATCACCACATTGAAGACAACAAACACATCCATCACCTGTTTTATGATCTGTCCTTCTGGTTCCCCGGACCTTTCCTCCCAGGCAACCACTGATCTGCTTTTAGCTACAACAGATTAGTTTTCATTTTCTAAAGTTTTATATAAATTTCTTTTTGTCTGGCTTCATTCAATCAGCATAATTATTTTGACTCATGCATCTGTTGTTTATATCACTAGTTTCTCCTTGTTCGTTGCCAAGTAATATTCCAATGTATGGATATGCCACAATCTGTTTGGCTATTCATTTATACCATGTTCATTTATTCATTATTGATGGGCATTTGGATTGTTTCAGTTGTGGCTATCACACATAAAACTGTTATAAACATTTATGTAAGAGTCTTTATATGGACATGTGTTTTCTTTTTTCTTGGATAAGTACCTAGGGATAGAACATATGGTAGGTGTATGTATAAATTTTAAAGAAACTGTTTTCTAATGGCATTTGTTTTAAAGCCAGTTTTTGTTTTGTTTGTTTTTGGACCCATGTGGTGGTGTGGTAAAGTTAAGATGTTTCCATATAAATGTTCAATTTCTCTTATGTTGAAGCAGTGAGCAACTGTCATATTGATTAGTCTCAGCCCTCACCTGTTTGGAAGGTAGACCTTCACCACAAGGTGGGAAAAGATAAGAATACAAGGGGCTCCCAGCCTAGCTGACAGCAGTGGGAAAAAAGACAGAACTCTGGAATTTTTTTTTTTTTTTTGCTTTGAGGCATTTAAACAAAAATTAAAGTGAAATTTGTTCTTTTTGGATAGTTCATCCTTTCCCTATGATTTTTGAAAACATAAAATGTTGGAAAACTTGGGTCAGAGCTGTGTTTTGGAGTTTTGAGCTATCTCCTTGATGTGTGGGCTCTGAAGCTCCTGTCTGTGAATGAATTCAGCCTTTGTTTCACCTTTCCCTGCTGAACAATGCTGGTGAATTAGAAGGAGATATCCAGTAGGGATAAGTAGCTTTTCTTTGATCCGCACACAAATCGAGCTCCATTTAGCCAACAGAGGAACGGGATTCACAAACACCCATGTGGCTCTGAACCCATGACATATTTAATAGGATGGGCAGCAGCAGTGTAATCCATCTCAACCACCTCGTTCCACCTTCTTCAATGTCCAGCACACATGGATTCTCTTAAAGGAGTTTCCTAACGGCAGGCAATATTGTTATCCTTCTGCTAATGTCTCACACAATGTGAGATGTCTGGCACTTGGCAATATTATTTCAGTGCAGAGACCCTTGAAAGCCACATGATCCCTAGGGTGATGGAGAGGAATAGAAGATGGGGAGAGAGTGCCCAGGTGGCTTCAGCCTCCTCTGTCCTCCTAACAGTGCAGAAGCAACTGGAGATCAGAGGCCCAGGGCCCTTGGGTGCTGCCGGCACCTGCCAATGCCCTCAGAGCAGGTGGCAGCTTCTCTGGAAAGGGCAGTCACCACCCCCAAGAAGCAGTCTGCCTCTGACTCTGTGGCTGGCCCAGCTCACAATACAGCTTAAGGATGTTCGTGTCCATATTTATTAAAGACCTAGGACAGAAAGGGGCTCCTCTGGTGGCTCAGACAGTAAAGAATCTGCCCACAATGCAGGAGACACAGGTTCCATCCCTGGGTCGGGAAGATCCCCTGGAGAAGGGAATGGCAACCCACTCCAGTATTCTTGCCTGGAGGATCCCATGAACAGTGGAGCCTGGCAGGCTACAGTCCATAGGGTCGCAACAAGTCAGACACAACTGAGCAACTAACGCCTTCACTGGCGTGATCCCCTCACACCCTTTTCTTAACTGGCCCTTTAAATCTTCAGTTGTGTGATGTGGGCTGAGGCCAGGGACAGGGCCCCTACTGATTACTGTTTCTCATTGTTGGGTTTAGGTTTTACTCTTAATAAGGATGCTGCTCCCTGTTTTGTTAGGTGGGGCTCCATCTCCCACCTTCCCGACCACAGACATAATCTTGTTTGCACTGAGCCTTCTGGGTCCTGCAGCCACCCCATCCATGCTGGTCATGTGCCCCAAGATGGGGGCCACTGACGCTGGCATGGGATTGAGCCTCCTCACCTGGGCACACGGCACACTCTGGAAGCTGGTTGATACAAGTGACGAGTCAGGCTCAGCTGACAGTGATGTCACAACAGATGGCTGTTTGGAGAAAGGTAAGCCAGCTGCCACCAAGTATCCTGGTTCTCTGGCAGGTGATGGGCAGAGGACCGAAGGCATCTCCTTCTTGGCTTCCTCCTGCTTAGACAGCCTGGTTGTGCTGGGGAAATAAACATGCAATTGATTTTGTTGCCTCCACACCCTTGGTACTGTGGCTGAATGGCTGTGGTTGTCATGGCAGCGAGCAACATTTTTGTTATCATCTGTGGCCTTTTTCTCTCCCCTGGGAGATGTCTGACATGATTCCGGTTCTCCACGCTGGTTCTGTTCCTTGTATTTTGGGGGATGGATGCTTCCTCCTTACCTCTGATTGGGGAGAATTTCCATTGGTTTGGAGAGACTGGCTGATGTGTGGGAAAGATGGGGGTGAGGTGAGAAAAGAGAATCGAAGGAGGGACAAAATTTTGTACGTGAATGGAGGGAAGATTGGAGCAAGGGGACAGGTTGTCCCTGGGTGACAGAGGGGAAGGGAAAAGGAAATAAGAAGGGAGCCGGGGACAGACAGAAGTGGAAAGGGCCAGAGGGAGGAGGCGCACGTGGAGTGGAGGACATCCTGTCCTCAGACACAGAGACTCTCAGCTGCGACTGTCAGAGCCCCTCCTGTCTCCTCACACGGGCTCATCCACTGTCCTCTGCCCCCTAGCAGCCCCAAAGCCTCTGGCGGGCAGCGCAGCCTTCTCCTCTGACCCCAGCCCACTGGCTTCACCATGTGCCTCATAATATCAGGCAATTCAGTGCCGGATGAATTAACGCATGGATGGACATTCAAATGCTTTTTAAGATTGAAATCACTGAATAAGGCTTTGGGGGACTGATGGAAGGGAATCAAAATCCCTAGTGACAGATGGTCAAACTCACCTGCTAGCTCATGGATTTGCGCTGAGAAAGGCAGCTTTGAAGATGAGTGGAGGGAGATACAGTATTGGCTGGTCAGAGGGCACTGCTCTTTGGGGGAAATTCCTCCCCAGTTCTGGGCACCTGCCTGAGACTGCTCTTCTGATGCGCTGATTATGGCGGAAGCAAAGCAGGTGTCACTGGCCAAGGTGGTGGGTCAGCTTGCCTGGTGTCTTCATCTCCAAAGCAGCCCTACGCTGAGATGCCTCAGGCTCCTGCCCTACAGGATGGGGAATGAGACTTGGAAACAGTGGCTTCTTATCACAGTCGTTGTAGGGTGCCGTCAGATGACAACTGTGACTGTGTGTCCCCACTGTGGTCCCAGGGTACCTCTTAGAAAACAGATCCTGGCTGACCTGGGCACAGACCCTTCTTGCAGGCTCCTTGGAGAGGAATGATGATGAGGACAGGGTGAAATGAGAAAGTATAGGGGAGGATGTCTCTGGGTTTGCCTCGTGGGAATGCTTCATCTAAAAGGATGGCCCTTGTGTTCCTTCTGATATGGTCAGAGCTGTGTGTAGCCTTGAGCCTGAGCCCAGCCCTAGGCAGAGCAAAAGGTTTACAACAGAAAATCCCAGCTTATGTCTAGTGCTGGCAGTTACAAATCTATGGGAACAAATAGGGAAACTGACCCATGTTGAACAAACTCACAGGGGACTGATGGATAAACCTGAATGCTACTTAGTTGTGCGGCATTCTTCAGGTTCTTTGGAATCTGAAAATCCGCCCTGGTAAATAGACCTTCTGTAGGACTAATGACGTGACACTGTCTATTAAAGAAAAGTGTCCATTAAGCCTTATTCCCAAGAAAGGTAGGAAATGGGGCAGGGAACAAGTCTGCTCTTCTTTGCACTTGTTAATTCTTGCTTTTTGACTCAAGCAAAGGAACTTGATTAGAGGGGGAAATAAATTTTTACTAAATGTCAATCCTAGTATTTTCTTTTTGGATGTAACTATGATTATTAGTTATCATATGATTAGATCTCTCCCCACCAGGTGGAGATCTGGGTAAAGCTGGCTTGAGTCATCAGACCCATGACCTTCAGAAGCCAAGGGCCTCCACCATGATCTCTGCATGTCCTCAGGGGCTGCTGTGGTCATGGCTCCTTCTGTCTTCCCATGCCCTGCCCTGGCCTGCCTTTTGCTCATATGTGTGCGGTCGTTACTCTGTGCTATTTCATGCCACAACTCTCATCAAGGATATCAAGGTTCTCTCTCACACAGAATATCTGTGAGCTGAGCAGAATGTGTCAACTATTACAGGGGTGAAAGGGCTAGAAGGGGAGAACAGATTTCTATCACAGCAGCACAACTTCAAAATCCAACAGAAGAGCATCTCTGATCTTCACGCAGCCTCTGGTCCCTGACATGGACACTTGCCCGCTCCCTCCCACCTCTCTCCATCTTGCCCTTTCCCCTGCTCCTTCTTCCTCTCTCCTTTATGCTCTCCCACACTCTCCTAGTGGCTAAAAAATGCCTCCCACATTTTGGGCTTTTTTTTTTTTTTTTTTTGTACAGCAGAGTGGTTTCAATATCAAGACCTCACATTTACCCCAAGCATGTATTAAGGTCTTTTTTTTTCCAAACAAAGGTAGTCCCCACACCCAAGAAACACACCCATGCTGCTAGGATAACAGAGACATTGTATCTCCTTTCCAAAACAAATCCTACTGCACTTCTCCACTTCAGTTTCCTCTTAGCACAAGCAGGATTTAGCTGTAATCAGCTCATCCCCAGTGCTACACCTTTCAGACAAGTCTGCTCACCAACTCCTGTCTGTTACTTCCAGGCTATTTGTGGGAGAAGCCACCTATGAGATCTTCGACAAATACTTAAACTCCCTAAGCCGCCTGGGGGACGGAAATGACAGATAACATACAAAGCTGTTACAAAGATCAACTAATGGACTTCCCTTATGGTCCAGTGGTTAAGAATCTGCCTTGCAATGCAGGGGACAAGGGTTTGATCCCTGGTCCGAGAAGATTCCACATGCCGCAAGGCAGCTAAGTTTGTGCACCACAACTACTGAAGCCCGTGCACCCTGGAGCCTTTAAGCTGAAACTACTAAACCTCTGCCCCTTCTCCACAACAAGAGAAGCCACCACACAGAGAAGCATGTACACCACAACTAGATAATAGCCCCTGCTTCCCCGCTGGCTCAACGGTGAAGAGTCCACCTGTGATGCAGGAGACGCTGGAGACCTGAGTTCGATCCCTGGGTCAGGAAGATCCCCTGTAGGAGGGCATGGCAACCCACCCCAGTATCCTTGCCTGGAGAATCCCATGGACAGAGGAGCCTGGCGGGCTACAGTCCATGCGGAAGCAAAGAGTCGGACACAACTGAAGTGATTGAGCACGCACACCGCAAATAGAGAAAGCTCACACAGAGCAACGAAGACCCAGTGCCGCAAAAAATAAATTAATTTTTAAAAAAAGATCAAGTAACATGATGAGCGTGAAAATGCTTTCTCAGCGACAGAGCCCAATGAAGCTTATGATTGGTTACTCATGGGGCCATGCTAGCCAGGGACCCAAGCAAGGCGGCCACTGGTTGTCTGAGTCATTGTGTGTCTTCCTTTCTTGGTAATGTCAGCTTGACTGATGCACTAGTCCAAACACTCTGGGGCAACAGTTGTTGTGTATAAAGAGCACCTGATGAATACAGAACTAGCTGTACTGCCAGAGGTAGAGCGTCTCAGCCTACGGAAAGTCTCTATTTGAAGAACACAGAAATGCCCATGTGCCTGCACGCAATCCTTGCCTCTGAGCATCTTATAATTTATAGCAAGCACCACTTTTCAAAAAACTATTCTTCTACTTTTACTTCATTACACAAACAATAATTGTAGATTATTAAAAACAACAGTGGGAAAGAGAGAGACTTATTTGCAGCCCCTCATTCAGAGAAAATCACTATAGTGCTCTAGTGTCAACGCAGCCTAATTTTTTTTTTTCTGTGTGTTGGTGTGAACTTCTCCATAACATTTTGCTGCACAGTAGATCATACTTCTTTTATTTTTCTCATAAATGAAGCCTATCTCAGTCACCCACCTTTTAGATTCATTCACTCACTCAATAGATATCAACTGAATGCTTACGATGTGCTAGGCACTCTTCCAGGTGCTGGGGAAACAGCAGTGAGAGAACAAACATCTCTGCCCTTGTCCAGCTGACCTTGTAATTGGGGCAGACAGACAAATAAACAAATAAGAAAAGTAGTACAGCGTGTGGAGATAAAAGACATGAACATATCCCAACAGGGGAAAGGGCTTTGGGAGTGTCTCGTACTAAGTCACTTCAGTTGTGTCCAATTCTTTGTGACCTCACGGACTGTAAACCGCCAGGCTCCTCTGTCCATGGGATTCTCCAGGCAAGAGTACTGGAGTGGGTTGCCATGCCCTCCTCCGGGAGATCTTTCTGACCCAGGAATTGAATCCCCATCTCTTATTGGCAGGTGGATTCTTTACCACTAGCGCTACCTGGGAGTGTTGGGCAGGCAGAAATTTTAAATGAGGGTGCTCAGGGAGAGCCTGAAAGCCACAACCTGAGAAGACAAAGAACTAAGCCATCTGGAGACGCCACGGCAGGGTGTTCCAGCAGAGGGAACTGCACGTGCCAAAGCCCTGGGGTGGAAGCGTGCCAGGCACGTCCTCGGAACAGTAGGGAGGTTGGTGTGGCTGGAAGAGAGTGACAGAGTAGATGGGGAGTAGGAGGTGAGACAGGGAGGTCACACAGCCTGACAGTGCGGCGCCTTGACAGCCAGAGTAAGGGTCAGGCTGTTTTCCGATGGTACCCTCCGGGGGGACTGGAGTGTCACTACTGGGGGGTTGGAGTTACACCATCTGAGTTAACCTTGAGGTTAAAATACAGGTGGGGAAAGGTAGGAGCAGGGGGCCAGGGACGAGGCTACTGCAATAGAGATGCTAGTTATTTGGACCAGGAGGGTGTCAGAGGTGGTGAGGTGAGATGCTGCCTTGATATACTTGAAGATGGAACTGAAACATGAGATGGAGGAGGAAGGTTGAAGGTGATTCCAAGGTCACCCTGAAGCATCATTTAGAGAATGGAGAGCTGGGGAAGACTGCGGAGGCCCCAGGGTAGGGAGGCGCATCAAAGTTGGTTTTAACATGTTAAGTAGCCAGATGGAGGGGTCCCAGAAGGAGAGGAGAGAATGGACTTGAGAAAATATTTGAGGCGACAACAACAGCTGAAAACTTCCCTAACACAGGAAAGGAAACAGTCACCCAAGTCCAGGAAGCACAGACAGTCCTAGGCAGGATAAACTCCAGGAATGCGCCAAAGCACACAGTAATCACACTGACAAAAACTAGAGAGGAAGAAAAAAAATATTAAAAGGAACAAAGGCAAGGCAACAAATAACTTACAAGGCAACTTCCATCATGTATTAGCTGATTTCTCAGCAGAAACTCTGCAGGCCAGAAGGGAGTGGCACAATATATTTAAAGTGATGAAAGGGAATAACCTACAACCAAGGATGCTCTACCCAGCAAGGCTCTCATTCAGATTCGATGGAAAAATCAAAACTTTTATAGACAAACAAAAGCCAAGAGAATTCAGCACCATGAGACCAGCTTTACAATACACAGTAAAGGAAATTCTCTAGGTGCAAAAGAAAAGGCCACGACTAGAAACAAGAAAATTACAAATGAAAAAGCTCACCAGAAAAAGGCAAGCATTCAGCAGAGGTAGCAAATGACCTCCACACAAATATGATATCAAAACGAGCAATTGTGAGATAATGAGAGCACAAATGCAGGATACTGAAATGCATTTGAAATGGAGAGATCATCAATTTAAAACAATCTTGTTTATGTATAGACTGCCATATCAAAACCTCATGGTAGCAAAAAACCAAATATCTATAACAGACAAAAGAAAATGTGATCCAAACACAACGCCAAGGTGAGTCATTAAATCACAAGAGAACAAAAGATGACAGGGAGAAAAAAACACCTACAAAAACAAATCCAAAACAGTTAACAAAATGTGCCAATAAGAACAGACATATCAATAATTATCCTAAATGTAAATGGATTAAATGCTCCAACCAAAAGATACAGACTGGCAGAATAGAAACAAAAGCAAGACCCATGGACATGCTGTCTCCAAGAGACCCACTTCAGATCTAGGGACACATACAGACTGAAAGTGAGGGATGATAAAAGGTATTCCAAGCAAATGGAAATCAAAAGAAAGCTGGAGTGAATGAATGGCTTTTATATCAGACGAAACAAATTTTAAAATAAAGACTGTCACAAGAGACAAAGAAGGATTTATATGAATAAGTTTTCGCCTGCTGATAACAGCATAAGAAAAGTTTTTGCTCACTTGTGTTCTTGTCTTGATGCTGGAATTCAAGTGAGGAATTAACAGAAGGCTTTTTTTTTCCATTTATTTTTATTAGTTGGAGGCTAATTACTTTACAATATTGTAGTGGTTTTTGTCATACATTGACATGAATTAGCCATGGAGTTACATGTATTCCCCATTCCGATCCCTAACAGAAGGTTCTTAGTGATAGTCGTTTATTGCAATAGGATGATGCAATGGGTGACAGAGCCCAGCACGTTGTAGGCACCTATTTTCTACACAATCACCAAAAATATCTGTTTGGCTTTAGAAAGAGGAAATGTATGAGATTATCAAGCTTTGTGAAGCTTGGACAAACCTAAGTATAAGCTTAGGACAAAGCTGCTGCCTAGCTTGGAGAAGCTGGAATTGTAGGTACCCACAGAAGTTTGGATAAGCACTAACTCATAAGTGTACGTTGAAAGTGACTTTGATCCAAAACTGCTTTTCAAAACTTCTCATTTCCCCCTGAGAACCATTCTAAAGAACTGCTCTCTGTCCGTTTCTGAGAGAAGATGATTTGTGTACACAATCATCAACTTTAAGTTCTTTCTACTAGTCAAATGGAGCCATATACACGAAGTCTTATATGTTTACATTTACACAGCTGTTCTAGGATTTGATTTGTTTATCGCTGAATTCCCATTCTCTTTAAGAAAATCCTTTAGCATATTGTTATAGGCATCAGGGGCTTATATAGACAGAACATCTTCAGTAAGCCTTAAAGACTCACGTAGCACTCATATCAAATCATTTGGACTGGACCCACAAAGATATTTTCTTTCATAACTTAACCATATGCATATATTAAAAAAAAGCTTATGTAAAGCAGAAAGAAGGAAAAGAGAGGGAGAGAAAGAAAAGGGAGAGCATGAGACATTTTCTTTGCACTCACTCCCTGACAGTGAAGTGTTGCTTATTTTAAAAAGAGGGCCCAGAATGTTAAGGGGTTTGAGGGGCGCCAGCGAATCACATTCCCTTTCTCACATCCTCATTTGAGCCCTGAACCAACTGAGTCATAAACAAAGGTATATAGTAGGGCAGAGGGGACCAGAAGGTCACTGACACAGAGAGAACTGAAGTTGGAGAGACACGACTGTATTGGCTACACGTCCTTCCAAACCCTGAATCCCGGAGTGAGGCATCTCACTCACCCCCCTGTGGCAGAACTGGACCAAATGGCCTGTTCTGCGAGATTTATGACATGGGAGAGCAGACCCAAGAGGGTTTCAGTGATTTCTGCCCAGCTTCTTCTCCTTCCAAACTCACGCTCCAAGCCCCTCCCTCCCGGGAGGGTGACAAGGATGGGGGCTGGAGGAATGGAGGGAGTCCAGGGGTGTCATACCAGGCGCACTGCACTGCCTCCACTGGGATGGAAGCATCTTGGGGAAATAAGCTACCCCACCCACTCCGTCCCCCACCAACACACACCTTCTGAAAGACAAAAGGGTCCCTTTAGACCCTTGGAAGTGGTGATTCACTCTTCCAGTGAATCACCAGGGGGCCCTGCACAGCTCTTGTCAGGACAATGAAACACCAGACACCAGGTCATGTGCTGACACTGCTATTCAGAGAGAGATGTGGGTGCACACACGCGTGCACACACACACACACAGGATCATGCCTTATGATCATGGTATCGTTTACAACTGCTCCTTTCACTTGATAACATACCTGGACTCTGCCTCCAGTAAATATACTTTTACAAAATCATCTTAATAGCCAAATATCACCCCACTGTGTGGTATACCTGTCGTTTGGTCACCAACCTCCTATTGTTCCCAGTCCTTTGCTACTATTAAAAACAACCAAAAAATTTAAAAAAGAAACATTGTCTGAACCTTCTTATAGCCAAATCGGTTTACATGCTTGATTCTAAAGATACATGCCTGAAATTGGAATTGCTGGATTAAAGGGAAGGCATGTTTTTAATACAATGGGTTACATTTTGCAAAAGGCTGCATTCGATGCCACTGTGACAATCCAACACACAAAGGACAGAGAGTAGGCAAAAGAGCTAGTTTACCTTAAGACTGTGGACATGTCCCCCACAGGCCCTTGCACCATGCTGGGTTCTACAGGCCCTCAGCTCACTGTGTGTGGACCAGCGAGCTGAAAGAACCCATGGGGAGGGACAGTAGGTCTGGGCCTTCTGTACGTGACAAAGGCAAGTGCATCTTCAAGGGTGAGCAGGGGCCTCTCCTGGTTGGTTCAGGTGACACGGTGGGTCCTGGGCCAGCTGCCCATGCTCTTCCTCTGTGCCCGAAATGATCTAAAGTCAGAAAAACAACATCTGGTTTCATTTCTCATGAGTGTTTCCCAGATGACCCACTCCCAGCTATCTGTGGGCTCAAGGATACATGTGGCATTTGCTTTGTCCCCAAGTCCGTGCCTGAAACCTGGACCCTCATTTGCCGTCTTCACACTCAACGACTCATGGAATGTGTGTGCCTCTTTGGAGGGCACTTCTGAATAGTTGTTGAGCTCACGGGCTAATATTTTCGATGCAGCACCTCTAAAGACAACCTGAATACACACAGGCCCATGGCAGGAGTGGACTGCTGATGCTCCTGATCACAGGAACGGTTTTCCGGTGGCTGAGGCCAAATTCTAATGAAGGGTTTTCAGTTTCTCAGGGCTAGAATTGAGGCAGGGTCTCACTGTGCCCAGGGAAGTCGGGCCCCGAGAACGGGGAGGTGGGCTCTACAAAAGAAGGCCCCCCAGAGTGTGGTAGAGAGCTTAGAGGTAAAACAGCCCCCATTCAAAGCTCAGTAGTGTGGGCAAGTCACCTGACCTCCCCGCACCTCAGAGTCCTCAGCTGGAAATAAGGGAGTCAGGCCCGGGATAGTGTAAGGGTCTGACAGAGAAAGGTGCATATAATTACAGGGTAAGTGCCTGCTAAAGGGTAGACGTTATTCCAGCATCAATATGACCAAATAGAGACAATAAGATCCCAAAGAAACAGATTTTAAAAAACCACTTGACAGGGAAGAAGGAGAGTCAAGTTAAGGATGTGGGGTTAAGGGATATGAACTACTATGTATAAAATAGATAAGCAAGAAGGGTATATTGATGGGAATTATAGCCATTATCTTGTAATCACTTAGTGGAGTACAACCTATAAAAATACTGAGTCATTATACTGCATACCTGAACCCAACATAATATTGTAAATCAACTACACTTCAATAAAAAAAGAAGGATCATTGAACATCTCTCACATCCCTATATGCCCAGGGCGTAGACACAGTCAGTACTCGGTAAACATTTGAGGACTCAGATGAATGAATATGGGCCAGGTCACGTCAGTCACGTAGGAAGCAACACAGTGAGGAGATGGTCCCTGGAGAAGCTAAGAAGATTTCTGTGACAATACTACTACTCATAATAAAAGTAGCAGAGGATGATACGACACTCAGATGCCTGACACTACACCTCACATCAGCCCTGGAAGGTGACACTTGGCCTCCATTCACAGAGGAGGAAACTGAGGCACAAGTCAGGTAACTGGCCCCGTGTCGTGCAGTTCATGATGGCGGAGCAGCATCCTTGTCTGCATCCCAGGGCAGGAGGATGGCAGGCTTGAGTCTCTGCTGCTTGGCAAAGGAGGCTGTGAGCAAGGAGAGTGAACTCAGCTCAGGGTGGAAGGCGGGGAGGACCAGGGCTCAGAATGATGGCACCTGCCCATGCAGGATGGGCAGAATGGGCTGTGACAACACAGAGAGGTGGTGGAATAGAAAAACACCAGGAGAGCCACTTTCATCCCCGAACTGTAGAACAGGAGGACACCGTTACTCACAGTATGCCGGAACCCGTTCTCAGGGCTTCACACACATTCACTCTCTCAATCCTCCCAGCCTAATGGACCGCAAGCCTCCTGGTTTGCGCGGTGAGCTGTGGTTTGCATCACTTTTGTCATCCAGGTGACTGATCTGAGCTAGAACAATGACACACGGCTATTTGGAAGATCTCTACTATGGACCATCCTACTGCACACAAATGGCATGCCTATTATAAATCTCAGGTCCTTTTTCTTTTTTTCCAAAAGTCTTAGAATGCAGTTTTGTTCATGTGAAGTTTCTTAGGGGCATTTTTATCATGTGTTTGTGTGTGTGTGTGTGTGTGTGTTAGTTGCTCAGGAGTGTCCTACTCTTTGTGACCTTATGGAGTGTAGCCCACCAGGTTCCTCTGTCCATTGGATTCTCCAGGCAAGAATACTAGAGTGGGTTGCCATTCCCTTCAGGGGATCTTCCCGACCCAGGGATTGAGCCTGTGTCTCCTGCATTGCAGCTGGATTCTTTACCATCTGGGCCACTAGGGAACCCACTTTATGACCTCAGTTCAGTCAGTTCAGTCGCTCAGTCGTGTCCGACTCTTTGCGACCCCATGGACTGCAGCACGCCAGGCCTCCCTGTCCATCACCAACTCCCGGAGTTTACTCAAACTCATGTCCATCCAACCATCTCATCCTCTGTCATCCCCTTCTCCTCTTGCCTTCAATCTTTACCAGCATCAGGGTCTTTTCAAATGAGTCAGCTCTTCCCATCAGGTGGCCAAAGTATTGGAGTTTCAGCTTCAACATCAGTCCTTCCAATGAATATTCAGGGATGATTTCCTTTAGGATGGACTGGTTGGATCTCCTTTCAGTCCAAGGGATTCTCAAGAGTCTTCTCCAACACCACAGTTCAAAAGCATCAATTCTTTGTCACTCAGCTTTCTTTCTTTCTTTCTTTGTCACTCAACTCTCACATCCATACATGACTACTGGAAAAACCATAGCCTTGACTAGACGGACCTTTGTTGGCAAAGTAATGTCTCTGCTTTTAATATGCTGTCTAGGCTGGTCATAACTTTTCTTCCAAGGAGTAAGCATCCTTTTATTTCATGGCTGCAATTACCATCTGCAGTGATTTTGGAGCCCAGAAAAATAAAGTCAGCCACTGTTTCCACTGTTTCCCCATCTATTTGCCATGAAGTGATGGGACTGGATGCCATGATCTTAGTTTTCTGAATGTTGAGCTTTAAGCCAACTTTTTCACTCTCCTCTTTCACTTTCATCAAGAGGCTCTTTAGTTCTTCTTTGCTTTCTGCCATAAGGGTGGTGTCATTTGCATATCTGAGGTTATTGATATTTCTCCCAGCAATCTTGACTCCAGCTTGTGCTTCATCCAGCCCAGCGTTTCTCATGATGTACTCTGCATATAAGTTAAATAAGCAGGGTGACAATATACAGCCTTGATGTACTCCTTTTCCTATTTGGAACCAGTCTGTTGTTCCATGTCCAGCTGTAACTGTTGCTTCCTGACCTGCATATACCTCTACTGAGGACAAACAGGAAAACTATCAGAACCAACAAAGTCCTCCCAACATGGTCAAAGATTCTTGGATGGGGGACCACCAGGGGACATGGTGGGGTCACTGAGCCCCACATTGGGGAAGTGGAGCCACTTGCTCCCCAATTTGCTTAGACGATGGTGGTCAGGACCCAGCCTGAGCCTTGGCAAGCTCCTAGGGTGTGGCCAGCCTCGTCAGCTGGGATGCCTGCCAACCATCCCCAGGGATGGCTGGGTGAAGGGTGTCCCAGGGGAGCCTCGCCCATTACTGGTGGCTGACCCATGAAGTGGAAAGGTCATCTGAGCCAAGCCAATCACTTGGACTCCCTCTGGGATATGACCCAGGCACCCAGGAGAGAGTGACTGGCCCACTGGGAGCAGAAGGACAGGCAGGGCCCCAGGCTGCCAGGGGCTGAGGCTCCCCATATTGGCCTGTTCTAGAATCATGACCTTTGACAGTGATTGACCCTGCATCTGGGTCTTCAACCCTCCTTATTTCACAGGGAGGACTTGCCACACTTCGGCCCCAGGGTCCCTTCCCAGAGCATCTGGGCTGAAGGTCCCGCCGCCCTCCCTCCCCTGTTCTATCCCTGGTCCTGGCCGGAGCAGGTGGGAGGGGTCCACAAAGGCATGGGGGGATCTATTTGCAGTTTCCTTAAACACACGCTCCTGGCTTCCCAGGGGCAATAGAGCCAGAACGTTCTTCCCACCCCGTTGACTGCTCACCCTTGTCTTACTCCTCTGGTGGCTGGAGTTGCTTTTCCTTCTGTTCTGGGCTGAGTTAGGAGAAACTCCCTGGCGATGGGGGTTTCTCTGCCCATCAGCACTGGCCAGCCACCCCCCACCCCCGCCCCCCGCCCCGCCAATGCCTCCACCCAGAGGCTCCACCTAGATCTGACCTTGGAGTTCCCAGCCACGGAACATCTTGAGAAGCCTGACTCCTGCCCAGCAAAAAGCGGATCTGCCCCAAGTTCAGTCCATGGACGTGAGCAGCAACCCCTCAACCCACACGGCCCCCACTGACCTCGCTCTCAACCCACACGGCCCCCACTGACCTCGCTCTCAGGCCGGCTCTTCCTGGTCTCCACCTGGGACGAGGTGGCAGTGAGGTCCTGCCAGGGCCTGACCAGTCCTCCAGGGGGCCCTGTGAGGCTTCTAGACCCTTTGGGGAGATATAAAGTCACAGAGAAACAAAAAGTAAACCTGCTGAGGACTGCAACAAAACTCCTACCTATCTACCTGAAAGGGATGGGGAGCTGGTCAAGGCAATCCCAGTGTCTTTCATTGGTCTAATCAAGGTCAAAGCTAGAATGCGAGCCAGCAGGGAGTGCGGGGGCCCTGAGGGGTGGGGTGCGAGGGTCCCAGCTTTGGATTGCAGAGAGGAGGAGGACCCAGGATGGAGGCCTGGGGAGGATGACCCCAACCCCGCATCCTGTCTGTGTGTCATGGCCCCATCCCGTCAGCCAGCGCCCGCAGATCCCCCTGGGTCTGAATGAATCTGACCCAGCTCTGCTATGGGCTGCCTGCTCTCCCCCAGCCCAAGTCTCCTACCATCTCCTACCAACTGCTCATGTTTCTCTCCTGAGCTTATCCATCTCTGAGCCCCCAGAGAAAGGATAAAGGAAAGCAGCCGTTCCTGTGGCTGGTGAACAGGTCTGTCTTCTTGTTTTGCAAGCAGGTAGCAAGTTGCAATGTTGTTTGCTGTTGCTTCCAGCTGCCTCTCACGCCTTGCCT